GATGGGGGGGGAGGAAAAAAAAAAAAAAAAAAAAAAAAAATACAAAAAAAAAACCAAAAAAAAAAGGAAAAGGATTAATGGGGAGAGAAGAAGTGAAGCTGTCGGCACAAGGGGGGACCCCAAAATCCGAGGGGGAGCGACCCCCAGCCCCTCCCCCCCTCTGTACACACGGGGGTCCCTCCGTGCCGGCCTATGTACAAAAAAACCCCCGGGGTCACCCCTGACACCCTGGGGTCACCCCTGACACCCTGGGGTCACCCCAACCACCCTGGGGTCACCCCTGAGCACCCTGGGGTCACCCCTGAGCACCCTGGGGTCACCTCAGACCACCCCGGGGTCACCCCCAGACCACCCTGGGGTCACCCCTGAGCACCCAGGGGTCACCCCTGACACCCAGGGGTCACCCCCAGACCACCCCGGGGTCCCCCCGACCACCCTGGGGTCACCCCAGAGCACCCAGGGGTCACCCCTGACTGCCCTGGGGTCACCCCAGAGCACCCAGGGGTCACCCCTGACACCCTGGGGTCACCCCGACCACCCTGGGGTCACCCCTGACTGCCCTGGGGTCACCCCAACCACCCTGGGGTCACCCCAGAGCACCCAGGGGTCACCCCTGACACCCTGGGGTCACCCCTGAGCACCCCGGGGTCACCCCCAGACCACCCCGGGGTCACCCCAGAGCACCCAGGGGTCACCCCCAGACCACCCCGGGGTCCCCCCGAGCACCCCGGGGTCACTCCTTGCGTTTGGCCACCGCCAGCTCCAGGCCGGGCAGGCGGAGGCCGGCGCGGGCGACGCCCTCGGAGGACGAGGCCGAGCCCAGGCGGGACTCGGGGGCCGCCGGCGCCGCCGCCCCGTCCTCGTCGCCGGCCGTCACCTCGTAGCAGCCCTTGGCCTTGGAGCCGATGCCCCCGAAGGTCCCGAATTTGCTCCTGGGCTGCCTGCCGGCGTCCGGCTCGGCCGCGGGCTCGTCGCCGAAGGACGACGAGCGCGGCCGCGGCTTCCTGCTGCGGAACAGCGAGAATTTCCCCTTGGCCGCCGGCGCCTCGGCCTCCGCCTCGCCCTCGGCCGGGCCCAGGCTGGCCTTGGAGCTCTTGAGGTCGCCCCTGGAGCCGGACACCGAGCCCGAGGCCTCGGGGCCGCCCGCGGTGCCGCCGCCACCGCCGCGCCCCTTCTGCTTGGAGAAGTTGAATTTGGGCATCTTGAGCTTGGATTTCTTCAGCCTCGCCTCGGCCTCGTCCGGCTCCGGCTCGGCCGCGTCGGCGCCGGGGAAGTCGACGTCCACCCCGACCTCGCGGCCCTTG